CCGAGTCCAAGAATGCGTAAGTTTCGACCACTTCAGATCTTCCTTTTGCCTTCACTCGAACTGGAACGATAGCAAGACCCGTCACTGAGGAACTGTTCAACTGGCTTGATTTTGTAGAAATCTTTACATAACCGTTGTTGGCTGGACTGGAACTATTTTCACGTTCTTCTTCCTTTGTTGGCGGTTTTGGAGGCGTCCTTTCTCTGTTGTTCTCTCCATCGGTTTGAGTAGACCTTGGGTGAAGAAAAGTTGAGTGCTTTCCTGAACATCCTTCTACCTTACAGAAACTTTGCTTTGCACACGAGCGAACGAAGTGACCACTTGTGAGGCAATTTAAACACAGTTTGTTGTCTCTCACGTATTTATTTCTTTCCTCAAGAGACATTTTGCGAAACTTATCACAACACGATAGCCAATGATTTGCATTGCACGGGCATGTACTCTTGTTCGGTTTTCCTAGTTCTCCCTGTGTTGAGAAACCGCTCGCTCTGGAACCAAATTGTCGCTTTCCTTTGTTGTCTTCCTGTTTTCCCTTATTTTCATTCACGATCTTTCCAAAAATCGGATGGGTAGCTGCTCTCGCTTTGGCAGTCACGAATTCTGTCACGTCCTCAATCGTCACGTCTCTTCCTTCTTTCTCTATAATACGGTCGACAGTATCACGCCATTTTAATCTCATGCCAAAAGGAAGCCGGTTGATAATTTTCTTCAGATTTTCAGGGTGATCCAGCTTGCTCAGAGAGCCAATTTCTTTTAACGTATTTGTGCAGCTGGTGAGTTGTATGGAGTACTGTAGAAGAGCATTTCCGTCCTCAGGTTTAATTGATGGTCCTTCTGTCAAGGTCTGCACATGGGCTGCGGCGATTCTGTATTTCTGTCCGTATCTTTCTTTCAGCAACCTTCTTGCTTCTGTGTAGCCTTGCTCTGGGTTCATCGACAGACAACTTTTCATAAGGTCTTGGGCAGGTCCTGATGTGTACTGGATCAGGTAGTATAGGCGAGCACTGGAACTTGGCGTTTTCCCTTCGACAAGATGCTCAAAGCCCCGAATAAAATCACAATATTCTATGGGATCTCCTCTGAATGCCTTTATCGTTGGTTGTGGTAACGTCAGCGCCATGACACTTTGCTACTCTGACGGTCTTGAGTCTCCATTAGGCGTTGAAGTGGATAATCGTGTGGGTAGCCGTCATGATGATGAGGTAAAGATGACTGATTTGGAAGCCACTGAGGTACACTAGGGTTAAGCTGTTGCCTTTGTTGCTTTACTGGTGTCTCTTTCGGTTGGTACTTCGCTTGTGCTCTGGGTGATTGCAGTGGCGCCGGATGGTTAGCAGGAACCACGTCAACAACTGATGTTGTCGAGATATGATGGGGATGAACAGAAAGAGGTCTGTTTTCTTCTTGAGATAAACGCAATTCTTCTGCTTCGCATTGTTCGAAAACTATTTTTTGCGCTTCAGCTGCTGCTATTGCACCTTGAAGTTCCACTTGGGATTTCCTTTGTTGAATCTTCAACTCTTCGAATTGAAGCTCGTGCAGTTTTTGGAGCGCATTAGCCTTAGCTTCTAGTGCAGCTTGTTTTGCGGCCGCTTTTGCCTTTGCACTAGATGTACTCTTTATCGAGCTAGTTTTTGACCGTGTGCTAAAACGTGAAGATTTATGTGATCCGACAGTGCTTACTGAATCATGTGGTTGAATTTGATTTTCTTGAAATTGGGTGACCGGTTGTTCGAGCCACAATTTAGTTTTCGTTTTGAGTTCTGAGACTAATTCGTCGACTGAGTTGAAATAGACAGTTGAATCATTTAGGTCTTGCTCTTCCTTAAGCAAGCTATGATACGCTTCGTGTGCGCTTTGAAATTGTATGGAAACCTCGTCTAAATCATTTGCAATTTCCTTTATTGTGTCAACATTATCGCACGCTGTCAATAACTCATTAAGCTTGTTGGCTTTTCTGGTGACATTTCCCTTGGCAGTACTTCGCGCCTTTCTTAATTGTTCCATAATTTGGCTTATCTCTAAGTCCATTAAGAAGCTGTAAATGGTTCAGTACGTTTTTAATTATGCGCGGTTGATCAGGAAATTCTTCGCATTCCTTAACCGCGCCGCAAGCACGATCTCAGGCAGCAAATTCCTTAAATTCTTCGAATTCTTTTGCCGTGTAGCAACTTCGAACTTAAATGTAATCCCAATGGCAGAAAACAACAAATGAAGTGGACTAACAATTGAAATTACTTGACTGTAAACCAATAAGATTACATTCGGGTTGTATGGTGCGCAGATTTTTCGAACTCGATAGATGATAGGCAAATGAACACAGACACAGTTCGCAAATAAGGTTATACTTTATAATACGGATCCAAAATGTTCACGAGAATAGAAGATCGATATAGTCGTATACAATCGGTTATCGATTATCGTATCGTTTTTCGGTTCGAACTAAATAACATGACAATGAAAAATATCTACTTAAACTATGAAAATACTGTTTGCGTGACTGTAGCATGAATCACGCGATCGCACGAATACGCAATAACTATCAATAAATGAACTATATCATACCCTAACATGCATTAACTAAACATAAGTGAATATTTCAACTGAATATACAATAACTAAATCATTTAACAACATATAGAACCTACGATTGCAACTGTACAAAAGAAAGGTCAAATGTGTACTCACGTTGGTTTACACGCGCACCAATGACCTTTAACTTTGGCTTGAAAACCACAGCGAGTACGTAGAATACAATGTGGATAGAAATAGTTTACCAACAGCTATCACGATAGCGTCCACAGATACAAAACTTTGTCCTTACACAACAGAACGTACTAGAGCCTTGACCTTCCTTGAGTCACGCAACTATATCTAAAATTCGATCCCGGAGGCGCAACTAGATTGACATAATGTCAAATAAAGCTGCATAATTTGCGTCGCGTTAATTAAGGTGATGACGTTTACAATATATTCGCGTTTTAAAACTAACACACGGTTTGTTTATGAAAAGCGAAACATGATATTTTCCGACGATCTACGAAGAGAACTCTTTCTCAGCTGCGTCCTCGCCCGCAGACGCAAAGCGGACGCATGGCGCCCGCACAGTGGACGCACCCGCAAGCGCCCGCAGACGCACAGTGGACGCACGATGGACGCACGGCGCACGCAGGACGGACGCACCCGCGGGCGCCCGTGGACGCACAGTGGACGCAAGATACCCGCGTCTTGGACGCGGTTTTTGATCAGTTATTTCTTGGCAGTACTGTATATCTACATCAGGCAGGCTCGAAAACTCTGCCTGGCCATGGTGGCCAGAACCGACCTGACCGCGTAGCTCAGTTGGCAGAGCATTGGGCTAGTATTCCAAAGGTCGTAGGTTCGATTCCCACCGTGACCAGGCATATTTTTCAAGCCTGCCCGGTGTGGATATACACTCAGAAATAACATCACACAAGCATCTTATTCACCTGAGTACATTACACCAGTATAGTATAGCCTTTCAATCCCGGGGTTGAAATTGTCCATGTAATCGCAAAAAAATTTCAACCTCAGACCTCTCAACTTTGCAGAGAAGTTAAGAGTGAGATTGGGGATGTGGATGACACCTTTATAAAAGTCCGGGGGTCTGAAATGGCATTTCGTACATGATGAGAGTTGGCCGGTTTTTTTAATGAAATACCTTGCTTCATAACGTCCTTTTTGAAATCTAGAGTCCCTGAAATGCGATTTCAAGCATTTTGGGGGTGAAATCTTGCAGAATTCCGAAGATTATAAAGTACATCGAAGACATAAATTTTCCCAGACATTTCTAATTTTCTACTCGGAATTAAATAAATTGGAACAGTCACCTTGAAAAACAGGAGGAGCCGGTCAGCGTCACCTTATTTCCCCTCTGTGATGCTGCATGGGGTAGAAAATCCCAATGTGATTTTGATCAGAAATGTTGCATTTAAACGATACAGAATAAGTCTGAGAAGAATATTCATGCTATGATAATGCATACATGTAAATCTAAACTAAATCTATTCTTCTTGGAACCATATCTACAACTGCTTTAACGAGATTTTACAAATCAAGTTCCTCCAGTATATCGTCGTTTTCCTCAGTCGAGACGTACTTAATCAGTTTCAGCTTCGAGGATGTAACGTGTACACCCCCCCCCCCCAATTTCTCTACGGATTTAGCCTTTTTCAGAGAATCGCCCACCCCCCTCCCCTTGGCTACGCCACTGGACATACAGTAATGAGCTTTAATTTGCCTTTGATAATTTACATATAGAATTCTGCTCCGACTGATTCTGCCTTTTGTCCGCCGTATTTACATATGCGTACTATTTTGTATCCAAATTGCGGGCAAAATGTCGGGCCGTATATGGAGGAACATGAATAACACGCTATTATATTTTCGATTTCCGATCCGTATAATGATTAATAATGTGCCTTTAAGAATACAATATTATATTATTGAAAAAATACTATGAAACTGCTATATGCGTGAGATTTACTAAACGTGGCGTGAGAGCGTGAGAATGAAGCGAATTGCGTGAGACTCACGCCGAATGCGTGAGAGTTGAGAGGTCTGCAACCTGGTTAACAGGGGTGAGTTCAACCTCGGGGTTGAAAGTTCTCCATGTAATCGGCCTCTTACAATTCCTTATTCTGGACTTGTAACCGGCCATGTTGGTTCCCATTTCAACAAGAGAATCTCATTTCTATAGAATGGTGGCCATGTTGGTCCCCAAATTCAATTATCTGTTAATTGCCAAAGGATTGCTTGCAAGTCAAGAATACATAATTATATGCCTTTAATTGCAATTATAATTTACCTGATTTTTATATCTTTGTATAGCAATCCTTAATTTGACAATCTGCCCTCCTTTTGAAACCAATTCTTTTAGCAAGACATCACTACAGTCTGCCATGAAGCAACTCGATTGTGCAGAGCTATTAAAATATTAAAAACAACCATTATTTGTCTATAAAATCATAGGCAGCCCACTAAACGACTGAATTTAAATTAAAACTACAATGAAATTATAAAATTTAACGAAAATAATCACAAATTAGCGAAATATATTGCAAAATGTAGCTTATATTAAATCTCCACTCGATTGCACTATCGGCGAACTGACGTATATTAAAGTATACCTAAGGTTGGCAAGGTGTTTCAACTGATTGAACTACACACAAAAAATATGTCCGTAGTATTTTAAAAAGCAGAAAGAAACTAGCCCGAACGAACGAACGAAATCGCTGACGACGAAACCGGCTACAGCCAATGAACAGCAGAGTTTTATTTTGAAAAATTTGTCCAGTAGCAGGATGCTAGCATCCTGCATAGTCACAGAGAAAAATATCGAGAAAACACCGTAAACTTTCGTAAATTTATCAACATTTAAAGCTATACTTTGACAAAAAAAAGTTACAGACAGGTTAGTAAAATTATCCTTGTTTATGTTGATGTTGTTTTTCGGGCTAGTTTCTTTCTGCTTTTTAAAATACTACGGACATATTTTTTGTGTGTAGTTCAATCAGTTGAAACACCTTGCCAACCTTAGGTATACTTTAATATACGTCAGTTCGCCGATAGTGCAATCGAGTGGAGATTTTTAATTAATATAAGCTACATTTTGCAATATATTTCGCTAATTTGTGATTATTTTCGTTAAATTTTATAATTTCATTGTAGTTTTAATTTAAATTCAGTCGTTTAGTGGGCTGCCTTGCCTGCCTATGATAAAATGTGACTGTTACACTGTTAATTTTGTAAAATAGCTGCCATTGCATGCAGTCACCTCACCTCGGTTGGTATTTCGGCACAAATAAAACACTAGCAGGACTGTGACCAGACATCACAATCAGACTTGGATCCACATTTATATAAACAATAAACATTGTACTATTGCAGAAATCCAGTGCAGTAAAGTGCAGACGTGCAGTTAATATTTCGGTGCTTCCAGGGAAATTTCATGGTATTTAAGGAAAAGAGGGAATTTGAATGTGGAAGCAAATGTGATTTGAAAATTTAACGAACGCAAATCAGACTTTCATTCTCATAGCCATATATCATTGAAAATGTCATAAAATGATTTGTTATACTTTAAGTTTAACAGGTTGTTATAGCTATGTCAGTATGTGAATATGTGATCGATACTCCGTCTTCTGTTAGCTTGTCTCGAACATATTAGCCGACTCCTGCCGACACTCAATATAAAACACTCCGCTCAGATAATTCTAGGCTCATTGATGTTGCATAAAAAAAGAATAAAATGTCTTTGGATTAAGAAGAATATTAAGGAAATCATATATTTTCGGCATACCATAGTTATAATACAACCCTAAATCACTAAATTATTTTTTATTATGGCATATTTAGACGGGCACCGATCCTTCCCATAAAAACAAAATAAGTTTCACAGTACCTCTAAATCTGAATCCATTTCTTCTCTGTATACTGTTTCTTGAATATATTTGACAAAACGGAGAGAATGAAGCTCAAATTTAATGTTTTAAAACGGCAAAACGCATTAAGCACATATTTCCAGCCTTGCTTTGGTGAACACGAGGGAGAAAAGATTGAATACGGCGCGCGCGATGCGTATTGGGTTCGTATTGTCACGTGATGTTGAAAGAGGTGCATGATTGGATGACCAATCAAAGGCTCAAAGAAATCAAGTTTGCAGATTCATAAGTGTAAGATACGATCTGGATTTATGTCAATCATCTGCAAATGCGTAGATTGCCCTGGTATCAGAGGCTCTTTGCGAGGCGAAAGAAACGATAGGCGAGAAGGAAGAGCCTCTGGTCACATCGGTTGCAAATCCCACTTCCACACTTGATTAGGTTCAGAATTTGAATCTCGCATGTAATTCGCCATTTTGTAAAAAATATGTCAAACCGGTATGAGAAATAAATTAGCTTACAGTAATGTTTATTTCCCAATTTTCTCATTTTACTCCTTTATGAGAGTTGAATTGACTCCCAGAAATGCATTACTTACTCCGTATGTTTACTCCTTTTTTGGAGTGA